AGCCTCTAAGACGCCCTCCAAGTGCTCCTGCTTCCTGGCATTTTCCGTCATCCCCTCCCTTCATAGTGAAGTCACTCTTTCCTGGTGACCAGAATCCAGAAGACATGGTAGGAAGCCCTCTGTGGCTTCTCTGTGCTCTTTGGATTGCTCCCATTGGAGAAGCCAGCTTCCTGGCAGCTCTGTGGCAAGGCTCACCTGATTGAATTTGGAAAGGGATCTTCTGAGGACTGCCAACAACTCCCTGAAGAGCGTTGACAGCGGATTCTCCCGGTCAGAGCTGGGGGACTGCGGTAGCTCCATTTGCTATCTTGAAATCATCTCTTTCTTCAGGTCTCCTGAGCCAGACGCTTCAGTTCTTGGGTTCCTGAACCACAGACACTGTGAGACAATAAACGTGTCGTTTTCAACCACCACGTGTTGGAGTAACAAGCTTTGCGACAGTAAATAACAAGCACTTGTTTCAGGAAACGTAATTACAGCACATGTCCCCATCCACTTGTGGTTTCAAAAGTAGGCTTTTAGAGTTGTTTGTTCACTGGTCATGCTAATTTAGTCGAGACTTGTTTTCTTTGATTTTTACTAGAAAAACAAGAGGTTTCTCCCCTCCTCAAGCATGTGCTTGTGAATTTCTAACTTACTCTTAGTTCCCTTTCTGAAAGAAGAAAACAAAAATAGCTTCAGAAAATTCAAATGATCTGAAATTGCTCATTTTGTGTAAAATACTTAAGTAGTATAAAGCATCGTGTGTAAAACAAAGCAAGCTGAAACATGATAAATCTCAGGATTTTCAGGAAAAAAAAGATAGTTTGATCAGTTAAAAGTATTCCACCTTCTCGTTCTCTCTTTTTCCGTTCTTGTGAGCACCGGTAGCCTGAAGGACTGTTGTGTCACTTGAGCGTTCACCTGCTTTAATTCTGAGCAGAGACCAGTTTCATAAAGGTCAGTTGTGAGAGCACAGGTGCGTGACAGAACCAACTTCACAGGAACAAGTTTTTTGGGTTTTTCGATGATGGAAACAGCTGCTACTCAAAAGACTGGAGGCTGAGGCCCTCCAGACATGCTGGGACTCTCATTTCAAAAAAACTCACCGGTCAAAGCCCTGGAGAGCTCATATAGCATCACCAGGAGGTGTAGGAGACTCATGGCCGCTGAGTTTGCTTTGGTTTTTATGAAGGGGGGAGGGAAAGAAGAAGAAAAGGTATAGTAGTAAAAAGACCACGTGGTTCTACCCACACAATTACTTTTGAATTTTATATTCCTATTAAATGAATCAGCCGAGTTGGTAACTATCACTTGAACAGATGTGTTTCAAAGCTACTCTAAGAAAAATGTTCTGATACATCACCCTGGCAAGTGCTGTCACCAAAAAAATAGCCTTGTATTTCATTTTAAATCTGTGCACTTTAAAAAAAGACACTTTAAAGGAGGCTCCCCTGATATAAAATATTCCGTTTGTCATGAGTGTTAGGTACCATCAGACTGATTCCAACTTGTTCTTGTTGTTAATGATTGCCTTTGAGTCAAGCACGACTCATAGCAACCCTATGAACAAAAGACCCGAAGCCCCTCTACAACTATTGACATTTATCCAAGTTCATAGAGTTTCCGGAGGCATGGTTCCAACTTGTAGCAACCTTATATACAAAAGAACAAAACACCGTCCGGTCCTGTGTCATACTCACAACCATCTCTGCATGAGCCCATTGGTGCAGTCTCTCTCTAGATCTGCGTCCTTGGGTATCTTCCTCTCTTTCATTGATCGTCTGCTTCGTCAAGCAGGATATCTTCCTCCAAGGGCTGTCTGTCCCTCCTGATGACATGCT